CCCCACCAACATCTTTGGACTGAATGTGACTGTTGTGGTTGCACTGACAGATGGACACAGAAAAACACTGAAAAATGACACCGATGACGGCGGAACAAGTGAAGAGAGCTGAGAGAGAGGTAATGAAAAACGTAACAGAGGGAATCCACTATGACAATAAGGAGGAGCTGGTTCTGTTACGAGAAAGAGCACCGGCGTATTTCAACGTCACGTTGGATGTTCAGAGGTCAATAGCAGCAAACGGAGACAAGTCGATGAGAGCATAGCAGTTGCTGTTGCGGTTACACCAAAATGCATACGTGCATAGCGACCACACAATGACATCTTGCTCTACGTACACCCTTTACCGAGTTGTGGAATGGATGTGCAACGACGGAGACATCAACATGAGTAAAAGAGAGGGAGGCGGTTTGTACGACAGATCGGCGTTCAAGAAGTTTGTCAGATCTCAGGCGAAGGAAGCTGAAATGTTGAAGGTAGAAGGCGATGACGAATTGAAGCCCAATGCAGCGGAGATATTGACACTGAGCAAGATAAACGCTCTGCCTCAAATAGATCCTATTGACTACCATGATCTAACAACAATGGTGGTGGACGGTGTCGAGTATGTCCTGATCGACCAGATTGTCGACTTTATGAAGAGTGGAGGCGATTACAAAAATCTCATTCACGAGGCATTGCATGACGTGACAGAGGAGGCAATAGCAGCAGCAGAGGTTGTCAATGTTGAGTGCGCAAAGGATCACCCACTCGACCTTGTCTCGGGGACTCTAGTATGTCAGGGGAACACATTCGAAGTATTGGAGGAGCTCACTGCGGCATCGACGGATGTGGACAGGAGGAGGAAAATAATGCAATGATGGCAAATGGTTGTTGCAGAAGAGGACACCTCAACGACGCATATGAGAGATACGACAGTGCAGAGTACAGGTGTCGTGGTATCTCTAGCGGCAATGAAGACGGCGTTGACGATTCCTGTTACAGATGCACTAACTGCTCATACCGCATACAGAGAGTGAAGATTAGCACCCGCTCGTCCTTCACATGACATCAACGAACGAGATGAACAAGTGGCGTGGCAGGGAGATGATATGGTGGATGGAATTCACGAGAAGGGCAATGTACAGACAGGACTGCAACAAGAGAACCCGACGTCATAGGAGTTGGGAGTGAGTGGCAGTGATATCAACTGTGATGAGGAGGGTGAGGAATACGATCCTTATTGGGACGTAAAGCGAGGTGGCGGTCAAGCCTCGAAAGGATGGTGTCATGCAATTTTGAGGTTAGCACGTGTATTCGCGGAACCACACCCGTTGATACGTGTTGTGGACAAGGCAACAACACCAGACGGGCGTCTTCAGTTCGCAGGTGTTAAGGCAATTATGTCCTGCATAGAAAACGACAGTATATGTTGCTATGAACAAAGGCCAAATGTCACAAGAAGTATCGAAACGCAGAAAATTATAGGGTTCTCTCTCTCTCTCTCTCTCTCTCTCTCTCTCTCTCTCTCTCTATATATATATATATATATATATATATATATATATATATATATATATATAT